GTATCGGAATGTCAACATCCTGTAGCAGGCAGTATTGGGACATGATTAGGTGTTCCTGACCTGCACTGGTGTATGCCTCAACCAAGCTCTAGTTTGTGAATTGAGCCTGTGATTCAAAGTTGAATCAGGGAAGAATAACTAAAGTCAAGATTGAGTAACAGTGGCCATAACATTTTGGTTACTAAAAGTAATCAAGATGGCGTTCAAACTCCAATACGCTTCACTCGACTCGGGGTGGAACGTTTCAGCACCAGAGATTTTTGGTTATGAGCAACAATGAATAGATTTCACAGGATATAAATTGCTGCTGGCCATTTTAGTGAATGAATATTTACCGTATTTGTTTCAAATTCCTCTGCTCACTATTAAACAATGCTGTTAATCCATTAAAACCAAAGATGTTTGGGGAGATTCGCTAATGTCACTCAAGAGGATTCAAACTAGTGTGACGGGACGGGCATGGGGGGGTAGTGGTGAGGTGGTGGGACACAGAGCAGTAGGTCAGCAAGTGAACTGACCAAGGAGGAGTTACAGACTAAGGCCAGTTAAGGCTAAGAGGAAGTACAGAGAGAGGGAGGTTTCTGAACACAGCAGGACAGGCAGTCTGAAGGAGGAGCATGACAGGTAAGGCAGATAAACTTACAGCTTGGATTAATGCATAAAGCTGATGTTGTAGCCTCTACAGAAGCTTATTTGAGAGAGGGACAAGACCGGCAGCTTAACGTTCTGGGATTTAGATGTTTCTGCCAAGATAGAGAGGGATAGTAAAAGAAGTGGGGGAGTTGTGTTACTGACTAGAGAGAATATCACAACTGTACTGAGGGAGGACACCTTGGTGTGCTCATTCATTTGGGTACAGCTCAGGAACAGGAAGTGTGTAATCATATTGACAGTATTGTACTACAGGCCTCCCAATATCCAGTAGGAGATAGAGGAATGGATATGAGGATAGATTATGGAAAAATGTCAAAACAACAGGGTTATTGAGGCGGATGAATTTAACTTCCCCGATACTGAATGGGACTTCCTTAGTGCCAGGACTTGGATGGGGCGGAATTTGTTAGGTGCATCCAGGAGGGTTTCTTGAAACAATATGTGTAGAGTCAAAGTAGGGGAGGGGCCACACAAGACCTGGTTTTGGGGAATGAGCCTAGCCAGGTAATCAAAGTTCCAGATGAGGAACATTTTGGGAACAGTGAGCATAATTCTGTAAGTTTTAAGTTACTTATGAATAAGGATAAAAGTAATCCTGGGGTGAACATACTGAACTGGAGGAAGGCTAACTGTGACTATACGAGGCAGGAACTTGGAAATGCAGATTGGCGATGGCTGTTTGAGAGTAAATCCACATCTGCCATGTCAGAATCTTTTTAAAGGGCAGTCGACTGGAGTGCAGAACCAGCATGTGAAAGTGAAAAATAAGAATAGCACGATTCATGGACGACAAGAGACATTGTGAGCTTAGACAAAAAGAAAACAAGACATACATAAGGCTTAAGGAACTGAAGACAGAGCCCTCAAAGAATATAAAGAAAGCAGTAAAGAACTTAAACAAGGAGTTAGGAGATCTGAAAGGGGCCATAAGATGTCCTTGGCAAACAGGATTAAGGAAAATCCCAAGGTGTTTTAATTGCATACAAGTAGTAAGAGGTTGGCTAGGGAAAGGGTAGGTACACTGAAGGACAGAGGAGGGAACTTATGCGTGGAAGCGGAGGAAGTGGGTGAAGTTTTTCATGGGTAGTAGGAACTGCAGATGCTGGAGAATCCAAGACAACAAGGTGCAGAGCTGGATGAACATAGCAGGCCAAACAGCATCATAGGAGCAAAAAGGCTGACGTTTCGGGCCTAGACCCTTCATCAGAAATGGGGGAGGGGAAGGGGGTTCTGAAATGAATAGGGAGAGAGGGGAATGCGGATAGAAGATGAATAGAGGAGAAGATAGGTGGAGAGGAAACAGACAGGTCAAAGAGGCGGGGATGGAGCCAGTAAAGGTGAGTGTAGGTGGGGAGTTAGGGAGGGGATAGGTCAGTCCAGGGAGGACAGACAGGTCAAGGGGGCAGGATGAGGTTAGTAGGTAGGAGATGGGGGTGGGGCTTGAGGTGGGAGGAAGAACAGGTTAGGGAGGCGGGGACGAGCTGGGCTGGTTTTGGGATGTGGTAGGGGGAGGGGAGATTTTGAAGCTTGTGAAATCCACATTGATACCATTGGGCTGCAGGGTTCCCAAGCGGAATATGAGTTGCTGTTCCTGCAACCTTTGGGTGGCATCGTTGTGGCACTGCAGGAGGCCCAGGATGGACATGTCGTCTGAGGAATGGGAGGGGGAGTTGAAATGGTTCGTGACTGGAGGTTTTTCATGGTATTTGTTTGCATCTGTATTCACAAAGGAGAAGGATAGATGTATGGTGAGGCTAGAGAGGGGTATGCTGATATTCTTGTGACTGTCAATATGAAAAAGGAGGATGAGTTGGATATTTTCAAAAGCATTAAGGTAGACAAGTCTCCGGGGCCCAGTGAAATCTGTCGCAAAATGTTGAGGGAGGCAGGAGAGGAAATTGCTGGGGCCTTGTACAAATTCTGAGAAGTCCCAGAGGACTGGAGAATAGCCAGTGTTGTTCTTTTGTTTAAGAAGGATAACAGCAACGGGGATAATGTGCAGAGTTACAGAGTTACATCAACAGTACGGAAATTATTAGAAAAGTTTCTTAGGGAAAGAATTGACTCATTTGGAAAAATATGGACTCATTAGCGATAAAGAGGCATGGCTTTGTGCAGGGAATGTCATGTCTCGCAAACTTGATTGGATTTTTTTGAGGAATGACAAGGATGATTGATGAGGGCAGGACGGGGAATATGTCTTAGCAAGACCTTTGACAAGGTCCCTCATGGCAGGCTGATACAATAGGCGAGGTCATACTAGGATCCACAGTGAGTTGGTAGGATGGATACATAACTGGCTTAGTCATAGAAGATAGAGTAGCGGTGGAAGTGTATTTGTCTGACGAGGGATTTGTGACCTGTGGTGTTCTGCAGGGATCAGTGCTCAGATCCCTGTTGTTTGTAACATACATATATTATATATACATTGGTTTGGTAGAGTGTAGGTGATCTGATTGGTAAGTTTGCGATGACACAAAGATTGGGGGAACTGCGGACAGTGAGGAGGATTGTCAGAGGATACAGCAGGACATTGATTGGCTGGAGACTTAAGTGGAGTAATGACAGATGAAGTCTGATCCGGACAAATATGAGATGATGCATTTTGGAAGGTCGAATATAGGATGGAAGTATACAGCAAATGCCAGAGCTGTTTGAAGCATTAGCAAACAGATGGACACTGGTGCACAGATCCATAGTTCCCTAAAAATGGCAACACAAGTGGATAAGATGGTCAAAAAGGCATATGGCATGCTTTCCTTCATTGGTCAGGGCATAGAGTATAAAAGTTGGCAAGTCATGTTGCAGTTGTGTACAAGTTTAGTGGAATATTATGCGCAGTTCTGGTCACCAGACTATAAGAAGGGTGTAGAGGCTTTGGAGAGAGTGAAGAAATGGTTTACCAGACGTTGCCTAGTTTGGAGGGTATTAGCTATGAGGAGAGAGTGGGCAAACTTGGTTTGTTTTCACCTGAACATCAGAGATTGAGTGGCAACCTTATAGAAGTTTACAATATTATGAGACAAAATTACAGATGGATTGGATCGTTGAAGTTTTTTCTCCCCAGGATAGAAATGTCAATTACTAGGAGACTTAGGTTAAAGGTAAAATGCAGAAAGTTTAAAGGAGATGTGAGAGGCAAGCTTTTTGCACAGAGAGGGTGATAAGTAACTGGAATGCACTGCCAGAGGTGGTGTACGTTAGCAATGTTTAAGAGGCATCTTGGCAGATACATGAATACACAGGGACAAGGGAGAAGGAGGGTCTAGGCCCGAAACATCAGCCTTCCTGCTCCTCTGATGCTGCTTGGCCTGCTGTGTTCATCCAGCTCTACACCTTGTTATCTTATGTAGATATATAATGTCTTTCTAAACTAAAAACATTTTATGTCAGCGTACGCTTGGTGGGTCAAAGGGCACATTCCAGTGCTGTACTGTCCGTCTTATTCTATGTCAGTTATACTAATGACTAGGGAACAGTCAGACGGTGTGTGTTTTCTCTACATCTCATCACCGACTAATTCAGTTAGCAATCAAACTGAGGAGATCCTCAATCAGGCTACTCACTTTATGTCCTCACCAGGGTGTGTTCAAAAAACTACAGCAGCAAGAACTGCAACCACGGTCAGGTTCTTCAACAGGGTCTCGTTCCTGTTAACCAAATCTGAATCAGGATCTCCTTACACCAATACTGGGACTTTAATTTCAATCAATTTGAATGTCAACACACTCAAAAATCATGAAGTGTGACAATGTCAATTGTTAGGTGAAAGGGGAAAACACAGCAAGGTTTAGAAACAGTTCATAAACAATCTGGTAGAACTGATTAAGAACTGGTTGTATATCACTCTCTGGCTGGTAAGGGGGTTAGGAGATACTGCAAGAATGTAGCTTGTACCTTACATGGAATAAGAAGTGATATCAGTAATTTCCTAACATATACATGGCATGGCTGCAACTAATCAGAACAATTTAATCAAAATGAACCTGACGGGATTGGCCAGCAATCATGCATTTAGTGCAAGAAGAGTATTTGCAGAGTCTCAATTGGATGGCTGCCAAAGCAGACTGGTTGGTAATGTAACCAATGCTAATGAAACATAAAGTCTTTGTCTATAATTAAATCAGGCAGATTGCTCTCCGCTGCATGTACGCTTGAATAAAGCTGGCCAAACCAAGTGGAGCCTTGACTGGTCTGTGAGAGAATCAGAGGGTGTGTGAACTCTGGGGAATAGCCCCCATCACTAGGCTATAATCTTCCATTATTAAATGGAAATGATCTTTCTACATAGAGCACATGTAATAGAATGGCTGAGGTTAAAAAGTAAGTCAGAAAATGAGACCAACCTTTAGAAACAGATTCTACATATCGGTCTTCAAATATAATAGGAAGATTACTCCAATCGCCATCTATATCCAGACACTCAATGGGCAGTGGAGGCATACTGGTGAGGTAGGATGAATTTCTGACAGCTGCTGCAATCTGACTATGCCTTTGGATTCTAGAAGTAGGAAATGACAAAGTGAGATTTAATGTTCTTACAAATTTGTGTTGAGTAGGGATAAGCAAATCTAAGGATAAAAATAACAAAACAAAGGACTAGGGATATTGGAAATTGGAAACAAAAACAGAAATTGCTGAAGAAACTCAGTAGCTCTGGCAGCATCTGTGGAGAGACAGCCTTCTGAAGATGGATTCAAAACATTAACTCTGCTTTCTCTCCCCAGATGCTGCTAGACTTGTTGAGTTTCTCCAGCAATTCCTGTTTTTGCTAAGGATAAAGCTGGTTGACAAAAAAAAAATGGTGAGCGCTCCCAAGAGAAATACTGTTTATGAGCTTTAAATTCCCAACATAGAACTTTTGTAGAAACTGGAATTCAAATCTGAATCCCCTTAGTATTGAAATCCTTGAATTGAAAAGTATCTGCCTACTGATACCTCTTTAGCCTATTGGTAAAGTCAAAATAAACGCTGTTCAATTGCAGTTATGCTTCATGATAAAGTTACTGATAAATGCTCTGAAATAGAGTAGTGGGAGGACAGGTTAATGGAATGTCTATGATGATAAAACTTAATGAACATTCTTGCACAAAAGACAGGTAAAGCTGAGCTAATTATTAATTTGAAATCTCCTTTCCCGTCTCAACCTTATTTCCTCCTGTCCAACTCCATTTCACTTAGAACTGCCCAGTCAAGTTCCAAATGGTTAGCCTTTGGCCCATAAGATCGCAAGCCACAGGAACAGAATTAGGCTATTTGACACAAAGAGTCTGCTCTGCAATTTGATCATGGCTGATATGTTTCTCAAACACATCTCATGCCCTCTCCCCATAACCCTTAATCCCCTTACCAATCAAGAACCTATCAATCTCTATTTTAGATACACTCAGTGACTTGGCCTCCACAGCCCTCTGGGCAATGAGTTCCACAGATTCACCACCCTCTGGGTGGAAGAAATTCCTTCTCATCTCAGTTCTAAAGCGTCATCCCTTCGCTCTGAGGCCGTGCCCTTGGATCCTAGACACATTGTTCAGCGCACCTTTTCTCCCACTTCTGATCTGCTCCACTGCACCTCACCTCCACCTCTCGTGTCAAATTACCAATAAAACCATTACTCAATTTCAGTCTTGTCATTCCCCGTAGATTCTCATCGCTATTCTATTTAACTCAAGGGATAGAGGCTTGAAGAGAGATGACCGAAAACTGGTTAGAACATTCACCACCAGATTTATTAGATGGAAGGAAGCTTTAACAGGTTCTCTTCTCATCAGCCAGAATGGCTCACAATTCCAGGCTCAGTCCGTACTGTTTCAGTTCCTTTCCCTGCTTTTGACTACTGGACTTTACAACACTCCCAAAAGATACTTTATTACAATAAATGCTGTACATAAATATCAGTTGCTGTCAAATCTGGATCGATAGATTTCTGTTAGTGTCAGAGATTGTCTTTTTAAAAAATCGTTCATGGGATGTGGGCACCATTGGCAAGATCAACTTGTATACTGCCCATCACTGATTTCCCTGGAGAAGGTATTGGTGAGTTCTCTTCTTAACCTGCTGCAGTTCTTGAGGTGTAGGGGCACCCACAGAGATATTAGGAAAGGAGTTCCAGGACCCTGACTGATAGTGAAGTGACGGCAATATAATTCCAAATTAGGACGATGTGCGGCTTGGAGGAGAAGTTGTTGATGGTGATGTTCCCATGTACTGGCTGGCCTTGCTCTTCTAAACGGTAGAAGTAGTGCCTTTGGAAGATGTTGTCAAAGAAGTGTTGGGAATTTACTGTATATAGTACATGTTGTTGTTACCTAGTGTCGGTGGTGAATAGAGTGAATATGGAGGATGGTAGATGGGGTGCCAAACAAGCAGGCTGCTTTGTCTTGGACAAGCTGCTAAGTGTCGGTGGAGTTGCACTTATCCAGATAACTGGAAAGTATTCCATCACACTCCTGACTTGTGCCTTGTAGACGGTGGACAGACTTTGAGAAAACATAAGACAAGTTACTTACTCATGGCTGACCTTTTGACCTGCTCTTGTAGCCACAGTATTTGTATGGCTAGTTCAGTTCCATTTCTGGTCAAGAATAACTCCCAAGAAGTTGATAAGGGGGGGATTCAGAAATGATAATGCCATTGAATGTCAAGGGGCACTTTTCCTGTTTAAAATTGTTTGTACCTGGCAATTGTGCAGAGTAAAGGCTAAAGTTGCTTTATGAAGCTAGGTCATACATCAATCATGGTATCACTGTATGGTAGTGCAGGATTCTGGTGTTAAATACTCTAACTCCATTCCAATGAATGATCGACACATTTTCTAATGTTCACTGTTTCAATAAAGAGAGCATTAAAAGGCTGGCCTAATCCATTCTCCTTGATTCAATAATAGTAGCTGTACTTCTGAGTTCAAGCCCAATTTGAGTACATAATCCAGTATAACTCTTCAAAGTAACACTGAAGGAATGCTGCACTACCTGAGGTGTGGTTTTTGGATGAGAGTTCAAGCTGCCCATCTTTTCTATCAGATTGATGTAAAATATCCTGTAGCACAATTCAAACATCAGTAGAGAATTTAATCTCATGTCAATCATTATCCTCTGACCAACATCAGTAAGAATGCCTGGGACCTCTCTGTGCACAGATTAGTTCTTCCCATATTGCAGCAGTGCCTACAGGATCAAATAAGAAATCTTTTGACTTTTTTTTTGGCAACAGTGAACTTGTGATAGGTGCTTTATATCACGCATACACTTACATTATTTCTTTTTGAAAAAGAATATTTCTTCTTTCAGGTGTATCTGGGTTTCTGCCTCTCATGTAGAATCAGTGCTAGTCATCACTGACTTTGTTAATCAATCTTTACATGATTTAATGAGAAAGTTGCTTAGAAGTGGACTTAATGCTTATACCGGCTCCTTCTTACCCAGAAACAAACAACTCTTTAAGCGTAATGCTTTGTTGAGAGCTAAAAGTTTATGTAGGGCAACCGAATGTGTGGTGATTGGAATGAGGTTAGCCGGGTGGACCTCACAGCATATGGGTTCCCTGATTGGGGCTGTCAACCTGGTCCAATCAGGAAGCCCTGGCTGACAGATATAAACAGGAGTGTCAGGGGTTCTGCTCACTCTAAGAGCTGGCCTGATCAGTGTCATGTACTATGCATGTCTAAGTAAAGGATGACCCAGTGACGGGATACTGGCCTCCGTGGAGTTATTTCAGACTGTTTTGTCATTTTTCCATTTTTTCAGAGGATAACAATTGCAACGTAAAGAATCCGAACCCTTCAATTAACTGGGGACAAGGACCAAGGAGAAATATATTTAAATTCACTTCTCATTGCAGCTAGAGATGGTCATTTTATTGGATTATATAAAGCAATGTATAAAGCAATAAAGCACTGTAATGCACCAATATTTCAGCTATCAACAGCAACATAAAATAGCCCTATTGCTAAAACAGCACATTTCCTGTCGGCAACCATAACCAGCTGGAAAATGATTAAAGGATTTATGTTAATCTTTTCTTGCCTTACTTTTTTATCCCAGTCTCAAAGTAAAGACTCCAATGTTACATTCTTCAGCCAGGCAATGAATTTAACCAATTCCATAATCCAGTCGAACTTTTGCAGCCGACATTATCCAAGATTATTCAATCTTGATACGTTTTCCTAGTTTTCTGTCAAAAAACCAGTACCATTTTCCACCTCAGAGAGATGCAGTGGTACTGAGGACTGCATGGATTTCGATTGAAGATGCTGCCTTATGCTTGAGTGGAGTTACATCAGAATTCATGGTACCTTCTAGTACCTATTATTAATAAATGCACCTAAACTGTGAGTGTTCTCTCCTCTCCTGAGATGAATTTACACAAACTCAGGAGGGTAGAATTTTAACACCCCATGAATCAGTGGTTTTTGCATGCAATAACACAAACAATTTTACTCTTCCATTTTCTTCCCCTCCAGGTAACCTGGTCAGCCCCAAAACTCCTCCAATCTATAACCGTCTGAAACTGATTCTTCCCATCGCTCACCACCACTCCACCTTTCCAATAATCTCACCCACAACTGAACTCCCTGCATTGTGAGGGGTCGATTTCTTCCCCAGTTGTTCATCCAGGTTTCCAACCTTATCCTCCATTGTCCTTTTCAGCATCTCTGAGGCTTCTAATCTAAACCTCTCCTCTGCGTTCCCCAGACAATGGCCTACTCCAAGGGCCCCTGCCTGCCTCTTAACCTGGTTGCTGCATGGTTTCCAGGACCTGAACAGATATCTGAGCACTGCTTTTCAGTGCCTGGGGCACAGTAGTTTCTAGGAGGACAGTGTGAAACAGGCTGGTCGGCTAGAGGAGGTGGATGTTAGTAAGGAAGATGTACTAGGAATTTTGAGGAACTTGAAGATAGATAAATCCCCTGGGCCTGATGGGATTTATCCAAGGATTCTATGGGAAGCGAGGGAAGAGATCGCAGGGCCTTTGGCGATGATCTTTTCATCCTCACTGTCCACGGGTCTAGTGCTGGAAGCTTGGTGGGTGACAAAAGTCATTCCCTTGTTCAAAAAAGGGAATAGGGATAACCCCGGAAATTACAGGCCAGTTAATCTTACTTCAGTGGTGGGCAAATTATTGGAAAGGGCTCTGAGAGATAGGATTTATGATCACTTGGATAGGCACAGTTTGATTCCTGATAGTCAGCATGGATTTGTGAGGAGTAGATCATGCCTCACAAACCTTATTGAATTCTTTGAAGAGGTGACCAAACAAGTGGATGAAGGTAGAGAGTGATGTGGTATACATGGATTTAAGTAAGGCATTTGATAAGGCTCTTGCAGAAAGTAAGGAGGCATGGGATAGGGGGAAATGTGGCAGATTGGATTCAGAATTGGCTGACCCTTAGAAGACAAAAGGTGGTAGTGGACGGAATATATTCAACATGGTGCTCAGTTACGAGTGGTGTACCACAAGGATCTGTTCTCGGTCCTCTTCTATTTGTGATTTTTGTAAATGATTTGGATGAAGGAGTGGAAGGGTGGATTAGTAAGTTCGCGGACGATACGATGGTGGGTCACGTTGTGGACAGTGCGGAAAGCTGTTCTAGGTTACAAAGGGACATTGATAGGATGCAGAACTGGGCTGAGAAGTGGCAGATGGAGTTTAACCCTGAAAAGTGTGAGGTGATTCATTTTGGAAGGGCAAAGTTGAAAGCAGAATACAGGGTTAATGGAAAGATTCTTGGCAGTTTGGAGGAACAGAGGGATCTTGGGGTTCATGTCCATAGTTCCCTGAAAGCTGCCACCCAGGTGGATAGAGTTGTTAAGAAAGCGTATGGTGTGTTAGCTTTCATTAATAGAAGGATTGAGTTCAAGACCCGTGAAGTTATGCTCCAGCTATACAAGAGCCTGGTTCGGCCACATCTGGAGTATTGTGTCCAGTTCTGGTCGCCTCATTGCAGGAAAGATGTGGAAGCGTTAGAAAAGGTGCAGAGGAGATTTACCAGGATGTTGCCTGGAATGGAGGGAAGGTCTTACGAGGAAAGGTTGAGAGACCTAGAGCTTTTCTCTTTAGAATGATGAAGGATGAGAGGTGACTTGATAGAGATGTACAAAATGATCAGAGGTATAGATACAGTGGATAGCCAGAGACTTTTTCCTCGGGTGGAGGTAGCTATTACAAGGGGGCATAGTTTTAAAGTGAGTGGAGGTAGATACAGGGGAGACATCAGAGGTAGGTTCTTTACTCAGAGAGTGGTAGGGGCTTGGAATGCATTACCGGAAAGGGTAGTGGAGTTGGCCATATTAGGGGCATTTAATCGGCTATTAGATAGGCATATGGATGATAGTATAAGGTAGGGGTGGAGGTTAGATAGACCTGAGGTTTAGGGTAAAAGTTCGGCACAACATTGTGGGCCGAAGGGCCTGTACTGTGCTGTAGTGTTCTGTGTTCTATGTTCTAGGAGCACCTACATGGAGTTATTAGGTATCTCACCTTCTTTCTTGCACATCACCTTCTTTCTTTGCCTAGAAGTTAAAATCTAACCCAAAGATTTTGCAGCAGGATGCACGGGCTATAATTCGAGCATGGAAACCCAGAATTATTTTGTTTCTGCAGCCCAACTGACCTGATACCAAGTGGAGTACCTCAGGCAATAACCGATGGAGATCAGTTGTTTTAATGATATTAACAAGATTGTCTTAAAATAAAACACATCAAAAGATTCTTCTCCGAAAAGGATTTAATCCCAATATTTTAAAAAAAACACAATAAAAAGGGATAATGACCAGTGCTTTTCACTGCACCAGAACACAGTCATTAAGAAGTATATCTTGATGGGATTATTAATAACAATTTTTATTGCAAAAATTGCTTTCAGTTATCTTATATAATTTAAAGTTGCATTGTCTTCCCCGGAGATAAGAAGAAAAAAAATCAAATTTTGCTTTTGGCTAATTGAAAGAGAACACTCTGTGCCATTTGTCAAAATATAGTGGAAATGACATCAATCAAATATCATCTCTAACGTAGGTTCAGCAAATCCAGTACCATAATGCATTTAAATCTTTAGTGCAGAGTGATTACACTATCTATTCTATGTTGCAATTTCTCTTCCCCCTCTTTCTCTTCCAAAGTATATTTCTGGGTGACCTAATTGAAAACTTTGATCCAGTCACATCTTTCATTACGGTGAAAGGGAGAAATACAAGTGATATGTTAACAATTTAGAGGAAAGGAATGGGGAAAGAACTCAAATGGAACCTAATTAATGCAGGGAGTAATTGTCTTTTTTATTGATATGCTGTCTCTCAGTGACTGATGTCCCCTACAGACACTAGGAGCAAGATTTTGACCTCTTCCATTCTATTACCTTTTTATGTCTCTTTGATTGATCACTCAAAGTAACTATTCCTTTGAATCCAATTTTTTGCGTAATTCCCTTAATTGTCTTTGAAGACCCTTCATTTAGTTGGCAAATCCTGGGAATGTCCTCTCTGTGTCTCCCTGGCTCTCCAACTTCCTCTTGTTTTTACATCCTTCCTTTGTCTCTTGAGCTCTGGTTCTTGGGTTTCAATATTCCACTAAGTTGTGATTTATTTCCAAATTGTGTTTTGTAGATTTGTGGAGTTACGGGAAAAACAAAATTAACTGAAAAAGCCCTTGAGGTCGGCAGAATCAATGTGTTCAAAACCTGAAAAATTCAAGAGTATGAAGGAAAGCAAGGCAGCATCTCATTCACCAAAATAAAAGCAAAATACCATAGATGCTGGGTATCTGAAATTTTTAAAAAGTGCTAAAGAAACACAGCAGGTCTGGCAGCATCTGTTGAGGAAGAGTTTACAGGTTGAATATTACGGTTTTTTGATTAAATGGGGGTCTTGGTGAGTTACATGGAAAGCTGAGGGGGTTTTTTCACCATACCTTACCAAACTCACGGCATTTATTTTTGCTTATGCCTTTATGCCGAGTATCACATGTCTGAAACTTTAAATAAACTCAATCCTACAATAGAAAGACTTACACATATTCCTGGAACGTAAGTGCCATCTGCTTCTGGTGCTCCATGAAGAAAAAAGCCTCTGAGAATCTTCTTACCTGTACAGAAACAGATACGAGTCCATTTCATCTCAATTTTCTAAATTATTGTTTCTATTTTTACAGTGTCTTATTTGATTCCTCAGGATCAAATATTGCTTCTCTGATTCAGCTGCATCACTTCACCAATAAAAAGCTTCACAAAAACAGTCGCTGAAGCAGAGTACAATTTGCATTTCACAATTCAACCTGTGGAAACAGTAATTACTTAGCAGGTCTTCCCTGTCAAAATAACAATAAGCCTAATGGCACTTACTGCTATTTAAGTACAGAGTCAGATCAACAATAGTTCAGTTACAAAAGCCAGAAGTTGCTTTGTTATCAGCTTTATGAAAATGGCTTATTGGTATCCTTATCAAAATGCATGGCCTGGCATTGGTTGTCATTCTCATGCAATAAATGAACTCATCACACAATGTTAAATCAAGTTGTACCCTGTTACTGACATGTTAAGTGTTAATCACTGCCAATTTTTCTCTCTGGCAATATTTTTAACTATCATAAATGTGCAATTTAATTCCTTGTTATTAACTTGTTAAATTGTTATTAACTTTTGAAAAAATGTTTTGTTTTACTATTCTTTGCCTTTTTTCTTTCTCATTGTTAGACTATTAATTCAGAGACCCAGGTAATGTCCTGAGGACCTGGGTTCAAATCCTGCCATGGCAGAAGATGGAATTTGAATTTAATAATAATCTGGAAATAAGAGTTTAATGATGACCATTAAACCATTGCCAATTGTCAGGAAAAACTCATTTCGTTCACTAACATCCTTTAGGGAAGGATATCTGCCATCCTTACCTGGTCTGGCCTACATGTGACTCTTAACTACTCTCTGAGCAATGAGGGACAGGTAATAAATGCTGGTCCAGCCAGCGACACCTACATCCCATGAATTAATTTAAACAAAAACCTGTCTTCCTTTCCCTTCTGTTCACTTCCCTTTGTGTACCTGATTTAATATTGAATTTGTCCACTTAAATGTATGCTTTCACCTCAGTCCTTGCACTATTAACTTCACAATTGTTCAAGATGATGGCTTAAGCTGACACACATCTGTTTGTCCTGTTCACTAAGGTCCCAGCTGCTCCTTCCCTCATTTTGATAGCATCAGTTTATACTTTGAACAATTTATCATGGGAACATTCAGAAACATGACCATACAAGAACAAGTTGAACTACACCCGGCCATATCAAAAATCAACCCAATGAGCTTACTAACAAATTGTGCATTATTTGACTTCTAACCCTCGGATACTGTTAGTATAACGCCACAAACTTCCCACCAACACTCCAATCCCACTTCTCTCTCCACCTTTATACTGACGGTACCCACCTTTATACTGACGGTACCACAGGCAGAAAATTTTTCATCACATTACTATAACCAGTATCTCAGAAATGGAGGAACAATGCTTTGACTAACAGCCATTGGATTTTTAAATTTAAAATGTTTCTTACATCCTAGATAAGTGCTTGCATACCTTTCACCACTGTGCTTTCTCCCCACCTTCCACACACCAAAAATACCGTAAAATGTTACAAAAACACACAATGGAGACCTCTTTTCTGATTAAACCAATGTATTGCTAACAACGTGCAAGATGTCAATTCAGGGAATCAGAACTCGGGTTCACGTGACAAATCCTCATAAACCCTCCAAGCAGACCTTGGTTGCAACATATAATGAAAAGAGATCAGTTAGCATCTCTTCTGAATTAAATCGAATTAGGTTTATTATTGCATGTACTCACAAGAGTACAGTGAAAAATTTACAAGTCACTAATTATGACACCATCTCAGGTACAAAAGTACCTAAGTACAAAATCTTGGTTACAAAGTTAAAAAGTTAAACAGTCCTTAATACTAAAAGGTAGAAAACCAAAGAAATGCAGTTAACAGTTCAACACCAGGGTCCATAAGCGCCTGCCTATTCTAGGCTCATACACGTCACAAGGGCTTGATCGCGCTCCCACTGCTGGTCCGGGCTACCTGCTCCCGCTTTCACCACTGGCCGTTCCCGATCCCGCCAATGCCGCTTTCTTTTGCCGTCAACGCTGAAAAGATGAAGATGAAGATGAAAGGGAAAAGAAGAAAGGAAAGGAGAAAGAAGGATGCAACAAGGAGTGGGTTGCCAGATCTGAAACAAACTGCTTGACTGTTGGCTTAGTGGCGATGTCAAATAATACCTGGACAGGTAAAAAGAGGGAGGTAAGGATGAAACAAAATCCAATGGTTGAAGTTGGGCTTCACTATTCTGATTTTTAGAACAATGCCATGGTGCAGAAACTTATACATTTTTGGCTAAGTTAAGTTGCATTTTTTTGGAGGGATTCTAGCCATAAGACCCAGTGAGATTTCTCACCACATCTTACAAAATGCATCTCATTAACTATCTATCCTACCCCTACGATGTCCTTCATTTCTAATTCTATCCCTATCTTATCACGCACCTTTCTCAGATCAACTTGTCACTCACCAGATATCTGCTGAAAGACTTGGTCCTAGCTGCTTGGTACCATAACAAGATTTGGCAATCTGGCATTGCCCCGCACTAGCAACATAATGGCACAGCGGCACAAAGCAATGCTACCCACGTATCTGGTATGGCTGACATCTCTTTGCATGTACAGCTTTTTCTCTCACCCTGGTCATTGTTTAACAACCAGGTCACACAATTTACCTGTTGTTAGCTACATCCTGTCTAAGTACCCTCTCTAAGTCACCGTTACTCTGTTCCTAATTCTGACTGGAAATCTGCATCTGGCTGTGGTCCACTGGGGAACATTACATACAGGTGAGCAATCAAACAGCTCCAAATGTGAGCTTCCATTTACAGACAGAAAAAGAGTAAACAAAAACAGTGAACAGAGACTGTAGGTCAACCCCATAATACAAACCAAACGTTGGAACCTCGACCAAATGCAATTTTACATTCTAAGGTTGTCTGTTGCACCCAGTTGCCATCTACTGGAACCAGGTGTGAATCAGGTCCTGCTTGGTTTGTAGCATTCAAATCAGATCTTTCGATCTGAGATAGCAAGAACTGCTGATGCTGGAATTCAGAGATAACACAGTGTGGAGCTAGAGGAATACAGCCGGCCAGGCAGCATCAGAGAAACAGGAAAATTGACATTTCAGGTCAGGACCCTTCTTCAGAAATGGGGGAGGGGGAAGGGAGCTCTGAAATAAATAGCGAGGAGGGTTGAGGCTGGGGAAGGGAGGTGGGATGGTGATAGGTGAGTGCAGGTAGGCAGTGGTGGGGATTGGTCAGTGGGATGGGAGAGGCTGATAGGTGGGAGAGAAGATGGACAGGTTGTGTCAGGTCAAGGAGGCTGGGATGCGAGGGAGGGTAGGTCATGGGATGAGGCCAGGGGTGGGGAGTTTTTAAAACTGGTAAAGTCCACATTGAGACCATTGGGTTGTAGGCTCCCAAGGTGGAATATAATCTTTCAATCTTCCTCCTCCTCCTCAATATCCTTCTCTTCCTTGGAAGACAATGCTAATCCCAGCAGCTCCTCAGCATCTATCACATTGCCTCGTTGCTCACTCCAATTGTGCACAGCACAGGACACAGGTATGATGTGGCACAGTCTGCCTGGATTATACTGAAAACTGTGCTACAATTCAGGATATTGTACCTTAGAAAGATTATGTTGGTCTCCAAAGAGGTGCAGAGTAATTTCACAAGTGGTTACCAGGGCTGCACGGCTTAAACAGAGTGACGGATTAGAGAGAGAAATTACATAATCTACATTTCTAAACCCATAAATATAGAGGTTGCAGTGTGACAATTGAGATTTTTAAGATTTTAAACAGAATTGGTGGAGTAGATTTATTATTCAATGGATGTTTATGTTGCTGCCAAGGTCAGTATTTGCTTACCATCCCTTCAGAAGATCGGGTTAGGCTGAGCTGTCATCTTGAACATGTATATTGTCAGTGCAACTAGGAAGAGCATTCCAGGATTTTTACCCATGGCAATGAAGGAACAGCGATACAGTTCCACATCAGGAAGGTGGGTGGCTTGGAGGGGAACATTTAGGTGGTGATGTTCCCAGGAATATGCTGTCTTTGTTTTTCTAGGTGGTAAGGTCCTGGGTTAGGAAGGTGCTGTTAAAGGTAACATTGGCATAGAGCAACTTGTGTAGAATGCATAATAAAAACCCCAAAAGAACTGTGGATGTTATAAATCAGGAACAAAAACAGAAGTTGCTGGAAAAGCTCAGCAGGTCTGGCAGCATCTGTGAAGAAAAAACTCAACAGTTAACATTTCGGGTCCGGTGAGGAAGGGTCAGAACTGAGGAAGGGACTGGACCCGAAACGTTAACTCTTGAGTTTTTCTTCACAGATGCTGCCAGACCTGCTGAGCTTTACCAGCAAATTCTGTTTTTGTTTGTGTATAATGCACATTGCTGTCACTGTGGTGAAGTGAGTGAATGTTTAAGAGACAGACATAGATAAATACTCCTATGGTGGAAGAGTTAAGGACAAAGGAAAGAAACTCTCTCTCACAAAACACTGTAGATGCACTGTAAATTAATAATTGAAATCTGAGATGTTTTTGATTGCCAAGTATATTAAGATACCTTAATATAACAGGTGGTTAAAGTTAGGATACACATCAGCCTTGTTGTCAATGAATGCCAGAATAGGCTCCAGTGATCGAATGGCCTACTCGTGTTTCTATAGCATTTCCCAATAACAGCTTTGATTGTTCAAGCTCACTCCCCACATGCATGGTCCATATGCCTTCCCTCAAACTGACACCGAAAACAGTGCCTACAACATATTGGCTATGGCAAATTTGTGATTCAGAATTAGAAATGAGAAGTCAGTAATTCAGTGCTCAGAAGAGTTTGAGAAAATTAACATTTCAAGTCAAACACTTCATCATAATTAGCACAGTTAGGCTGGAGAAACTACTTTTATAGGACTAGCAAGTGAAAATGAGGATGAGTTACCATAGGCTTTTCTGTTTCCAGGACAAATAGTGCTACAACATGGTCAAGGAAAGACATCTAGACTTCATTGTTGTAGTAACAATAATTTTACCAGTGCTACAAAGCTCAGAGATATCTTTGTTCCTCTAACTCTGGTCACTAAAGCGACCAACTTAAATAAGCAGTCCACCATCAACAATGGTACCTTAAAATGCCATAACCCTAATTTCTAGAATTTCCCCTCTAAATCTGCCCACCTTTATTCTTTTTCCATTATTAAAACTTCCCTTCTTCACCCAGCTTTTGACCATCTTCCCTAACAGTTCTTCATTTGCTACTTATCAAATCTTCCCTGATAACGTTCCTTTAAAGCTGGTTTTACAATGTCAGAAGTGTACTCTAAATGTAAAACTATTTGGAGCAAAAACACAGCCAAACCATACTCTACCCTCACCTGCTGCCCATGGAGTTGTTCCAGTTAGATAGTAACATGGGTTTTTGTAAATTTTCTTCAGTATCTTTACACTGGCTCCAGTCCAGATGACAAACTGTCTCAGGTAAAGGCAGAGTTGGCTCTTTCAACTCTTATTAAGGGGATAGGATGATTGTCATTATACAAACGGAAAACACCCTGCAGACATGTATGATATTTCAAATCCTTTGCCAATGATTTATTGATATTTTTAAAGGGAAAGTTTCATTTAAAAATAAGATGGATTACTGCAACATGAATGACATTATCACATTACTTTGCTGATAAATGTTGTTGCAAAGCTTAGTTAGCGTCAGGCAATACAAGAGAGTTCCCTTGAAAAAAAGTAATATTTCTCTGAGGATTTGGTTGAAGGATCATACTGCAAAAGAAACAAAAGATAGGATTCAAAAGGAACAATCAAGTGGTGCAAGTAAAGTCTTCTCAGGATATCTTCACTCATCTTTCCAATTGGATTGCTAACAGTCCATCACTGATCTCCACAAAATGAGGCTTTCATTGCTTTCTATGGTGATTTACAGCATAATTTCTCCAGGAAAAGGGTTGCTCCAGTAACAATGACTTTCCAAGTATTCACCATGGGGTGTACTTTATGGGATTGAGGATGGCAAACAAAATGAATTACCCACCTCACCAACTGACAAGTTGGTTGACACTTTGCCGAAGTGCAATCTGACTGCCTCACAATTCTGGGGATATGTGTTTGAATCCCACCGTGGTAGATATGGAAATCTGAATTCAACGAAAATCTGGAATTAGAAACAGCTGGCCTATGGCAACCATGGAACCATACTGGATTGTCGTAAATCCCCATATGTTCATTAATATCCTTCACGGAAGGAAATCTGCTAACCACAGCAATGTGATACTCTTAACTGGAAGACTGGACGTAGCCAGAGATGGGACATTGCCCTTAAGTTGACTACGTCGGGCTCTGGCTTGACTCTTCTGTGGGTCAGCTCTCTCACAATCTAAAGGTATAAGTAAGAAGGACTTGGTAAGTCGACAGGGAAGGGCATGCCATTGATGTTTCTGGTATTTAGGTATTGATGCCAGGTAATCCCTTAAATTTCATCCCTTCTTTTAGGCTTCATTGTGGTTTGACACAACAGAGTGGCTTGCTAGGCCATTTCAAAACAAATGTAAGATTCAATTACATTACTGTGGGTCTGGAGTAACGTGCTGGCCGAACAGGTGTTAATGGCAAATCTTCTTCATAAGTAAACTGTATAGATTTTTATGACAATCAACATGGTCAGAGATACTGAGAATAGTTTTGAATTCCAGATTTTAATTCATTCACCAGATGAGGCTGTCGCTGGCTAGATAGCATTTAATACTTATCTCTAGTTGCCCATGGAGCAATTAAGAGTCAACCACATTGCTCCATGGGTCTGCAATCACATGTAGGCCAGCCTGGGTAAGGATGGCAGTTTCCTTCCCTAAAGGACGCTAGTGAACCAGATGGGTTTTCTGACAATCAGCAATGGATTCATGGTCATCACTAGACACTTAATTCCAGATTTTTTTAACTGCTGTAGCAAGGTTCAAATCAGTGTCCCCAAAACATTATTTGGGTCTCTGGATTAACAATCCAGTGACAATACCACTAGGCCATTGCCTCCCGCATTAACTGAATTTAAATTCCACAGCTGCCTATAGGTAGGTTGAGCGAGTGGGCAAAAATCTGACAAATGGGATATAATAAGGGAAATTGTGAAAAAAACAAAGAAACATTCCATCTACTTGGTTAGAGATTGCAGAGCCACGAAATGCAGAGGGGTTCTTGTGTCTTACTGCATGAATCACAAAATATTAGTATGCAGTAAAGCAAATAATTCAGAAAGCTAATAGAATGTTACTGTTTATTGGGAGGGGACCTGAATACAAAAGGAAGGAGGTTATGCTTCAGTTACAAAGGGCACTAGTGAGACCAGTCAGGGTCTCCTTATTTAAGGAAGGATGTCAATGTGTTGGAAGCATTTCAGCGATGTTTCATGAGACAAATGGATGGGTGTATTCTGAGGAAAGTTTGGACAGGCTAGGTTTGTACTTGCTAAAGTTGAGAAGAGTAAGTGATGACTTGACTGAAACATATAAGTTCCTGAGGGGTCCTGATATGGTGGATCTGGACAGGATGCTTCCTCTTGTGGGAGAATCCACAACGAGAGGGGTCACTGTAAAAATAGAGGCTTCCATTTAAGATAGATGATGAGAAATGTTTTCTCATGGAGGATTGTGAGCCTTTACTCCTTAAAAGGCAGTGCTTTTGAATACATTTGTGACACATAGATTTTTAATATGGAAGGTTATTGAGATAGGCAGCAATGTAGAGTGAGCAGGTCAGGAATGATCTTCTTAAGCAATGGAGCAGGCTTGAGTGGCTGTGTCATACTCTTAATTCATCTGTAGGCCATGGTTGAATTTGTTTCATTCCTCCTGGCCTCTGAGTTTACAATTCCTCTACGCAAACTCCTTTCTTTCCGAATTGCAGTTACTAAACAGCCAGATGTCATTTGACCAAGTAGTTTCTTTCCCATCAGACGGAAGATCTTTTAATGCAATCCTTATTACAGGAGGACTAAAGACTGCTTCTTTACCATCATTTAAGGTGGCAGTAGACCTTTTTTTTTTAAGAAAGCCAAGTGGTCACAGGGATAGTAAGAGAAGATCATTCTGGTAAATGGCTAAATGGTTTGGCAGCCCCTTTGGGATTTTCTGATACTTCAAGAGGAGTTAGAGAGAACTTTGATAGATTAACTCAAATCTAGGCAACAGGGCTGTGTTTGTTTAACCTCTTGCAGGAAGTGGTGAAACTGTGCATGATCCTCTGAAAATATTTTATTGTCCTGGTCATCTAAAAACACACACAGAAGATTAATTTTTCAATGTGAGCTTGTTAAGACCTCTCTGTCCAGATTTCAATTAAATGCTGTGCTTTTAACATTTCATTGTTAGTAACCCCATATTGAAAGTGAGCAATCTGAATCACAGCATGGTAACGTTCGGAAGGAACAAAACAAAATATTATGTGTTTTATATTTGTTACATTACCCTTAAACTGTGATGATCTTGGCTTAAGAAAGCTGCAACATCTGGCTGGAGTGTCATACTGTCTAGGAACTGGCTCCACAGTGCTGCAAGACAGGAACAGAGCTGGGCCAGGTCCCTGTTGATCTGTTCTGCCACTTTGTCTGCGCTGTTGAACATCTGCAAGAAAATATTAAATACTTTACAACCAAATGAACTTACCTAAACCTACAGTCACACTTCGTAAACTGACATGTTACCTCATATTCATAGCACTATTTTGACGAGCAAGATAAAATAGAGAACTTGTATATTAAATGATGAAGTTTTAACAGGAATAGAATTCAGAAACACTTGAACTGTTAAAACATGTTGTATTTCTTAAAAGGTAGCATTTTTATAATAGAACTTGTTATGTTAAATTTGCATTTTATTCTGTTTAATGTTGTTTAAAATTTTTATTTTGCACACTATAAATTTCAATCATCATGGACAAAAAGTTGGAGGTACCTTGTTTAAGAGTTGTTTAACTGGGCATTCAGGAATGACTGCTTTTCTAATTTTTTTTATTCATTCACGGGATGAGGGCATTACAGGTTAGGCCAGCATTTATTGCCCATCCCCAATGGCCCAGAGAGCATTTAAGAGTCAACTACATTGATATGGGTCTGGAGTCATATGTAGGCCAGATCAAGTAAGGATGGCAGTTTCCTTCACTAAAGGCCATTAGTGAACCAACTGGATTTTTCCTGACAATTGGCAATGGATTCATGGGCATCATTAGACTCTTAATTCCAGACCTCTAATGATTTCAAATTCCACCATCTGCTGTTTAAATATTCAGCAGTTTCTCACTGACTCTTTTACTTACTCTTGACTTACATGTTCCATATATGTTCAGATTTGCTACTTTTCCTTTGAACTAATTAGCAAATAGAAGGACAAAACTGTGACAGGCATGATAATCTGCAGCATAAACTCACTCACTTCTTTGGTACCTGTAGTTCCTTTTACTCCTGTAGGTGTCACACTCTGTCACGTACAATGGTTGGAGAATTTTGGTGAGAATATATCATTCTGAGGCTGCTGAAAATGGTTAGCAAGCCCTGACAAACCATTCAAACTGTTCTCGAAACATTTTCCTGCACAATTTATTCTTCACTATTTCTACACATTCTGTGATTCTAAAATTGGAACAGTGGGGACTGTATTACTTCATCAATTGATCCATTACTTTTGGAATCCAGAAATAATTGGGTTTAGGAAGACAAAATGTTTCTCTCCTTTGTATTTTTATATGTCAGTTGTGGCAGCAGGAATACACACATGCGCCCAACAGCACATAATCTCACAGTGAGAAACAATAACCAATAAAATACTGCAGCATTCTCCAGAGATCGCTTACCTAAATTTCTGAAAAATAATGCCAGCCAACCAGAAATGGATGAAAAAAAAAATCATCAATATATACAAACAGAAAATCTGCTAGCAAATCAAGGATAAGTAAAAAAGAAGTATTGGATTTCTTAGGGAATGTCCTCATGATGCATATTTGGTTCAGCCGAAGGAATTGGGATCAAAAAATCTCGTAAATCCTCTCACACGCTAAGGTCCACAAATTGTAGTTTGAGAACCTGAGAGTTAAAAATATCGTTTGGAGAAAGTCACAAAACAGTAAATCCAACCAGGATCTTTCACAAAGATATTGTTGGAATAAAAGATCAGTGGTACCCATCAGGCTTGTGTGGTGGAGAGAGTATACCTGCGCAGTATTTATCTCTCTATTACCTCCTTTTAAAACTATAAAGCCCTTTCTCAGTATTTCCATATAACTCAATCCTCTGAGTCTAAAGGCTTTTCTTATCAGATCCTCAAGTCTCAAGTATATCCTTTATACCAAGGTAACCAAAATTGGACAAAGTCTTCTCGTTATGGTCTGTTAATGCTACTGTGTGATTTTAAACAGACTTCTACTAACTTGTACTTGACTGTTTTTCAAACTCTGCATTCTAATATTATTTCAGACAATTGAACGTGTCCAGTGACAATCTTCTGAAGCCTTTAGTTTTAACTCCTTTTTAACTTAATTCAAGACTGATGACTCAGTATTTATTATCAGCTATATCTTTCAACGTTCTACCTGACATGTTAATTTTTTGGTTCAACTGATCTTCCTTTTCGTGAGCGGACTCTGCGAATTCAACTACTACTCCTTGCTTAGTATTGCCAGCAAATATGATTGGTCAATATTGAATTTCTAAATCAAAGTTGCTTATAGATATTAGAAACAACACCTGCATCAGTGCCCATCTAGGAGTTAATCTATTCACTTTCTTTTGTGTATTCTGCATTTACAGCATTTCCTCTACTCTGTGTGGAATAGACAATGTCACATTGGGAGTTTGGGCAGCTGTAGCTCTTTGGAAGAATACCTGTAGTCACAGATAATTATACTAAATAGTTTTTAAAATATTATCCTAACTTGTATTTCTGTTGCCACTTCATATGTCACATAGAAGGTACCTGCTGCTTTCTATAAATCAGTGAATCATTTTATTTATTCCAAGCTTATAGATTCTATTAGATTTAAGTCGCAGTAGGGATTAAAATTTGACTTTGGCAGAAATTTTAAATGAAGAGTAGTGGGTGGATAATCTGCTCCTGCCCATTTTTCCCAATTGCCAAACTTCAATTTTAATCACATGTAAAATGGACATTTTTAGAATAAGTGATAAAATCCCTACCTGCAAGTTAATGCGAAGCTGGCACAATGTTTCTTCGATGAGGCAGTCCTCTGCAAGCAAGAAGAATATGCAATGGGAATTCTATCCCTTAATAACAAAGCACCTATTGGACAATGTGTGATAATGTATTGAGCAAAAAAAAAATCACTGATGGAATCCGAATCATGAAGAGCGAACAGCAGGCAACTTTAACCATCACATTTGTTTCCTGTACTCTCCACTTAGCACCTTAAGTTTCTTAGCTTCAAACAAGAAGCCCCACCAATATTTCAGAGAAAAAAGCCACAATAATATTATTGATATAGACTTTTTGACAGAAACAGTGCGAGGAATGGTACATGCCAAAAATGTTAACTTTTTTTGTTTTACAGATAACAAAAAACGTTCTGTGCATTTTCTGCAGCCGCTGTCTTTAGTTTTCCCCGAGATTGGTCATTCTTGTGACTGCAATATCTTTAAATGCGCTTCTTATGAAAATGAGATTGTGAGGTAAATTTTGGAGCAACAGTAATCTGAAACTCCTATCTCAGTTCAAAATAGTACCATTCAATGTAGTTCACATCTAAAATCAACAAACATACTTTCTAACTTGCAGCATGCAAAAGTTTAAACTTGTCTGGAGGAATAAGTTATGGAATGAAGAGCTGTGTGGTGCATTTAGCTCTAGCATTATGTTAGTTTTGCAAGTTTGTTGTTTAGCAAACTCATTGGATATAAATCATACCCAACAGCTCTTTGGTGTGCATATCTAAACAAAATGTATCATTAATGGCACATTAACAGTGAGGTCAAATAATGACACTTTAAAGTTACAAGACATATTACTTGACCTCTGAAAACAGCCACACTAACTCAATGTATTGCTGAATTTTCTCTGCCACTAGATGTCAAAAAGTGTTAGGCAGTTAGAAAACCTATTTCCATCCATACACTAGGGCAGCCTGTACTAACCTGCAATGGTCACTTTATCATCTTTGAGATACGCAAGTCTGTAACACTAGGTCGAGGTCAACCTTTTGCACTGGAAGATCAACAAGTTTCAGGCAGACTAAAGAGCATCTTTCATTGAGTTAATGGTCCTCCAGGCACCAGTGTGCATCCCAAAGAAAAGCCCATACAGCACACAGCCCTGCATCACAGAGCTGCTCGATGAACCTCGACAAAAATACCTGCATCTGTTGCCTGACCTTCTTTGTAAAGGCACATTCCAAAAAGGAGATGTGTGATGGGATCTTCACCACCGCAGTCATCTTGAGGGCAGTGTGCAGTAGTGCAGAGAGTCTAGGCATGCATGAAAGGTCTTTTCACTAGCAACCAAGGTAATGACGTGGTGCTTGTTGGCACCACAAGTTCCAGGGATGGGGCATTCTGCCAAGTGACTTTGACAGTCTGCTCAGGAAACCACTCGACAGGATCGACTCTCTCCTTGTTTCACAGGACATTACATGCTAACACTGCCTCATGGACTTGTGGTCAAAGGTGTTTCCTTTGCAAATTGTTCCATGAGGAACAAGTGATATGGAATGGTCCAACTACTTGGCAACACCAGGGATGGGTAGAACATAGTGAAACGTGGTGTTTCTGTACTGAAGGTCTACACACAACTGGATGCAGCTGGGTACAAAGATGGGCATCCAGATGAGGGTAATATTGGGTACGTTCTTCCCCCACTGCCTTAGCCAGAGCATGTACTAAAGCTTGGAGCAGCTGTCACTGAGGTGCAGTGGAGAGAGGCCACTATCTAAGATCTTTCTGCCAAAGCACAACAAGGGTTTATTACCTTTTGAGATCCCATTGTGGCCTTAATGGGAATGTGAATATATTCCTTTCATTTAATAAATTGCTTTTGTTGTTGCAACTGGACTGAAGGTCTAATAAGGAATGTCAAAATTCCAATGCATTTTCTGCATGGTACTGAACTGTTTACACTTGTATTTACTTACGGATAATTTATGAATAAAGTACATATTTGATATTTTAAAGAAAAAGATATGGTCTATTTGCCAAGAGAGATAGTAAGAACTGCCAATGCTGGAGTCAGAGATGACACAGCGTGAAGCTGGAGGAACACAGCAGGCCAGGCAGCAACAGAGGAGCAGGAAAGCTGACGTTTTGGGTCGGGACCTTTCCAAAATCATCTTAAATCTCCTTAAGTCCTCTTAAAGGTATGCAGACTTAAAATCTCACTTCTGACAATAAGTGTAGATAAATATGTTTCTCACTACGAAATACCATTTGGACACTCTCAAGAAGTGAGTCATTGGCAAGGACTGCATTTATTTCCCAACCTGAATTGCCCTGGGAAGGGGAGGGTGGCAGTAGCCAATTCAGAGTTCAATAAGGAGTCAATATCATTTGGGTGTGGGATTGGAATTATATGCTGAAAGGATGTCATGTAAAGCAACTCTATTTTAATTGAAGTCTGATAGCTGCATGGACGATTTTGTTGAAACTATTTTTTAAATTTAATTTTAAAACACTGAATTGAAATTGTCAAGCTACCATCTAATTTGAAGTTATAAGGCTGAGCCTTTGTCTCCAAAATATCATAGGAATGGAAGGGGAAATTGTCAACAATGAAGTCGCAATGAAAAACATGAATTGCCTCCTAATACCCAAATCAACTTTCCTTAGGCAGAAAGGTGTTTGAGTGAGGTTTAGTTTGTGACCTTGTAAGCACAGCCAGTGATGCTTAAATTACTACTGACAGGCCAAGGGATAAGTTGTCCCACAAGTCCCATATATTTTCATTGGGCCATCTGAATTTCGACAGCCTCTGGAAGCATGTTGATTAGTGGAAACATTCTGTCAGGTAAGTGTTAAATATTTTGACAACTTTAAATGTCATTATTAGATTTTGGCTTCTAAGTTAGATGTTTGTTAACTGCAATGATTTGATCACTGGGCTTTGTCCTGCAAGGGAGGTTGATAATTGACACTGTGCTCATGCTAAGCCGCAAGAATACTTTTGTTATTTGTGAAAGTATGACCCCTCTACATTCAAAATGGTACAGAACAATGCTAGTTAATTTTTCTGGCATGATTCCAAAGTGATTTGAATGTCTACAGTCCTGTAACTTTAAAAAAAAAAACAGGTCTAAGAATTCTTTGAATAACAGGTCATCAGATGTAACTTAAAAAATAATCCTAGTTAAGATGGCTCACATGAATGCTTGGCTAAATCTCAAATACTATTTGATGTGCTTAACTAATCAAAAGGTTGTTTCTCCATCTTGGTAGCTTTCAGAGGTTAATGGATGATAATTTGCCTTCAGTGTGGTTTATGACTGGATGTTTGATTTTACAACTTAATAACCAATTGAGAGAATTTAACTTTCTCTAAGTCTTTTTCAGACCAGTACAAATTGCAGTTTATTGTATGACATCCTTATTTGATTATTTGGGGTTTATTTTTGATTGTCAACTTCAAAGACTTCCCATTGTTTTCCATGGCTCCTGGCATTTACCCAGAGTGAATATGGGTGAGTGGCATGAATGGTACATGGGGTGGATGTGGAAGCATGGAGGGGCATATAAATTAATGAAGGTGCATAGGAATGATGTGGAGATGTGGGCTGATGTCTGCAATTACCATAATGGGCCTTCTAACCAGTGTTCATCGGCACTCATCCTCTCCTGTGCCTAGGAAGGTAGCAGACCTGAATCTTGCTCATCCCCATCCCCAGGGGCTGAAAACATAATAGGTATGTGAGAGATCATGGCCTCAGGTTGTAGTAGTTCCAAATGGCCCAGAATTACATTTCTTGAATCTGGAGTGAAATCCAAGCCCATACTCTCTCAGTACAGTACATAACCATGACACTACCTTGCCTCACAGTGTGGCATAGCTGATACCAGTGAAACAGTACCTTAGCATGGGTCTTCACTTTAGTGGTGGGGTGGAAGACAACAACAATATTACATTTTAAAAATGCATCTCTCTTACCCAGTCGAATCTGATGAAGTTCTGGGATCTGTTTCATGATTGCACTGAAGTAGCAAAGAAGTCCTTTGTAAGCAGAAAGTAAAGTTCGGCAGAGATTTTCATGCCATCGGTATACGTGTTGCATACAGTCCTCAGAGGTGACATTAGTGCTCCCCTAATAGAAAGAATAAAAGGGTGTGATACAGGAGAATGAAATTTCACACCCAACACTTCTCATTAATGAAAGGAACACAACCATAACCAAGGAAGACCATGTATGGAAACAATTAAATAATATCTACATTTTTCCTTTGCTTTTGCTCTCTTCCAGCACAGTCAGTGCTCCTCTGGGCTTTTCTCTTTTGTTCCTCCTAAGCTACAAATATGGTGTCTTCCACATCCAGCCCTCTCCGAGCATAGCCAGTTTGCAAATCTAAACATAGCAACTCATCATTTCCTGGGGTCAAATCTGGGGAACTCGTCCCCTCCTTTGGTATTCCCCATCTTGTAATAGTTACAAGATTTAAAGGACAATCTTGTCACTTCTGTTCACTATTTTTCTCTGATTGCGGTCAGCCTTGCTGTTATCTTGACTGAGGACCTTCGTCTTCCAATGAGCTTTCTCATTGGTGGCACGGTGGCTCAGTGGTTAGCACTGCTGTCTCACAGTGCCAGGGACCTGGGTTCGATTCTACCCTCAGGCGACTGTCTGTGTGGAATTTGCACGTTTTCCCCGCGTCTGCATGGGTTTCTTCCGGGTGCTCTGGTTTCCTCCCACAGTACAAAGATGTGCAGGCTGGATGGATTGGCCATGCTAAATTGCCCACAGTGTTCAGGGATGTGTAGATTAGGTGGGCTACAGGGGGATGGGTCTGGGTGGGATGCTCTGAGAGTCAGTATGGGCTGAGTCGAAGGGCCTGTTTCCACACTAGAGGGATTCTCTTCTATTAATCTACGGCTTTTTTTACAAAAAAGCTGCATGCCTGCGCAACTGTGAAAAATGTTGGCTGTGTTTTACTTGTCTTGAGATTGGGAGTGATGTTTCAACAACCTTTTTTTCAGAGAAACCCTCCCAGTTCATCCAGAAAAAATCTAAGCAATATTAAATATAAACAGCAACACCTTATTTGAAGGGAACACATTTTTTTTCAATCTGATAAGATTTCATCTTAAAAAGAAACAAATTGATGGAAAGAGAATGCAGGTGTTATCTGACATCTCCTCAAAGCATGAGATAACCTAAAAAGAAAATCTGTGTTAACTAGCTGCAGTTCACCACCTCTTCCTCAAGGGTAACTGGGGGTGGGTAATAAACGCTGGCCCAGCCAGCAGTACTCGCATCCCATGACTGAACGAAAAAGAATGCTCAGGATCTCAAAGCAGGAACAGCGCAGGGTTAAAGCTAGTCCTTTAACTTATCGATTCTCGCGATTTCAAAGACACCAAATGGAAGCCCCTGAACTTCCTCTGTCTCCTGTGACTGTGTGGATATTGAATGAGAATAGAATAAAATTAGGCCTTAGTGCTCTCTTTCCAGAATAAATGTAACTGTCTATGCTTAGTCTTTGAAGATAAAAACGTGGGCAAGATGCCAATGGGCTCCTCGTGTCATGGAACCTAACTCAACGTGGTGACATGACGAGGTGGAGCAAATAAAAGAGAGAAACCTGCAGATAGAAATATATATTCTTCTAAAAAAGTATGACATATTTAAATTCACATTAATAGAAGTACATCCTGTCGTTGTCCTCCATTAAAATCAATCATATTCCAGGTTAAGAATAACACTGAGTAAAATGCTGTTGAACAGATTTCCTCTCTCCAGCACGAGAGGAACTAACATTAAAACAATTTTTAATTCTTGAGAATCGCCCAGAAAACCACACTTGCATAGCCTTCAGACTTTTCTACTCAAGAGCAATTCAGACTAATTCTAATAGAGCTACCAGATGTGGCATCATGTTGTAAAACATCTCAGTAGGAACCCAATTAAACTGGAGTGTAACACAAAGCCCAGTTAACCAAGGTGAGGAAAACAAACTGTGTTATTACTGATTAATGACATTGTAGAATGAGGGTTTGTCTGTAATAACAGGTGAGGGGCAATTCTTGTGATCAAAGTCCATTACTCAGCAAAAAAAAAACAATTTTATTAATTAAATTAGACACAATACTGAAGAGCAGGGACAACTGAAACTAGGAATACAGAAGAAAAAAATGCAAATTACTTACAAAGAATTAAAATAAATTGCAAGTCATGGCAAAGCTTGAAGACTGAGTAAATTTGTGATTTCTTGCAATATTTGTATTTGCTGTGCAAAGTCAAAAGACCACATCTCGTTGAAGTGAACAGCACTGAAAACTTATTCTCATGAACTAGCTGCACTCCCAATCAAGCTGTCCTACTACAGCTACAACACTACCAGATACTGTGGAAAATTGCCCAGGTACCTCCTGTGCACAAAAGGCAGAATAAATCCAATCCAGTGAACTATTGCCCTGTCAGTGTACTCTTGATCATCGGCAAAGTTATTGGCAGGGGTCAGCAACAATATGATCAAGCAGCACTTGTAAAGCAATAACCTGCTCACTGACACTCAGTTTGGGTTCTGCCAGATCCACTTGGCTCTTGGTCTCATTACACCCTTACTGCAAAGATGGACAAAATAGTTGATCTCCAAAGATGATGTGGGAGTGTTTGCCCTTGACATGAAGGCCGTATTCATGGCACCAAAGAGCACCAGTAAGTCTAGAATCAGTGGGAAACAGAGAGAAAACACTTCACTGGTTGGATTCATATCTAACCCAAAGGTCATTATTGGAAGCTAATCACCTCAGCCCCAAGACATCAGTGGAAGTGTTTCTCAAGGCAGTGTTGTAAACTCGAACAGCTTCAGCTGCTTCATGAATAACCCTCTCTCACTGTAAGGTCAGAATTCGGATATTTGTTATGACTGCACAATGTTCAGCACCATCTTCGATATCTCAAATACTGAAACAGTCTCTATTCACATGTAGCAAGACCAGGACAACATCTGAGCTTTGGCTGTTGTGGCAAACAACAGTCACATCCACTCATGCCTGCCAAAGTTTAACCTCACCAGGAGAAAATCTAACCATTGCTGAATCTCCCACTACCAACATCGTTCTAGTTACCATTAACCAGAAACTGAACGGGACTAACTTAATACAATGACTTAAATTGCTGGTTTGAGGCTAGGAATTCTGTGGCAAGTAACCCACCTCCTGAATTGCCCACAGCTTGTCCATCATCTACAAAGCAAAGTTAAGGGTGTACTGAAATACTCTCCACTGGTCTGGATGAGTGCAGATCCAAAAAAACACAAGTGGGCAGAGCATCCCACTTGATTGGTACCCTTTTCATCACCATCAACATTCACTCCCATCACCAAATATTGTGGTAGCCGCATACATCATCAATAAAATGCACTGCATCAAAGCTACTCTTCCAAACCTGCAACCTCTACCACCGGGAAAGGCAAGAGAAGCATGGGCATATATGGCAACACCACCACCTGCAAGTTCCTTTTCAAGTCACATATTATCCTGAGTTGGAACGATATCACTGTTCCCGCAGTGTCACTCATTTTAAGTGCTAGAACTCCTTTCCCAATAGCACTGTGGGTGTCTCTAAACTCCAAGGTCTGCAGTGGTTTAAGAAGGCAGGTCACCATAATCTTCTCCAGGGTAATCAGGGATGGGCCTTAAATGCTGCCAACATAACTTGAACAAATATTTTTAAAAATCACATTTAATAACACCCTTCACCAGCACATGAAATCTCAAAGCTTTTGAACTGGAGTCTTTCTTGTTCTATAGGAAATACAGCAGCCAATTTGCATTCAGCAAGTTCCCACAAATATCAATTTGATCAAGACCAAATAATCATGATCCAACAGCCGATACATCAGGCCTTATGATGACAGGAGACCTCTGGTAAAGCAGATGACGATAGCTAAGGTTAGGATGTTGTCCTGAGGAACTAGATAGAAAGTGCCACAGAATTTAACATTATAAAGTGTAGAGCTGGATGAACACAGCTGGCCAAGCAACATCAGAGGAGCAGGAAAGCTGACGTTTCGGGTCTGGACCCTTCTTCAGAAGTGGGGGAGGGGAAAGGGATTCTGAAATAAATAGAGAGAGAGGGGGAGGCGGATGGAAGATGGATAAAGGAGCAGATAGGTGGAGAGGAGACAGACAGGTCAAAGAGGCGGGGATGGAGCCAGTAAAGGTGAGTGTAGGTGGGGAG